AGCAGCTCAGAAAGGGAGGCAGTTCCACACCCACTAACATGGGAAGGTCTTGCAGCTGGAAGAGAAGAGTTCAGTGAAAACAGCCAATTCCAGAACGATCCTATTTTTAGACAAGAGGGGGGAGGTAAGTAAAGAAAATTTCTGGAAACATTTATTTGGACAAACAAATACATAAAAAAGTGGAGATCATTGGTGTGCAAAGACCTGAAGTAGGGGAGCATTGCTTTCTACCGGTTGGACCCTTTTCTCTCTCTGCCTCTTGGCTGCTGGACAGACCAAAGGAAAGTTATCTGATGCACAATTACTGGTAAACCATGATTCTGTAAGGAAAACTATCATTTTGCGGGATACGTTTTAACAGATATTGTTAAACCCTCTCCCGAGAACATTACAAAAAGGTAGAATTGTTTGACCCGCCTCTGGAAAGTGCTACATTACTTGACAGGAAGCATTAAGACCTGAATTTGTCCTAGAAGGAGAACAAGTCCTCTCCGGTCTTACAGGAAAGAGGGGCCTCCTGGGTCTACCCCCGTCAGGATTCTCTACACATTTGCCACCAGTAACATTGCTGATGGTGGAAACTCTTCTGTCAATACCAAGTTTTTGATATGAAAATCTGTCCAGTCTCTGCCTTGTCATTCTTGAGTGCCAGAATAAAGTCCAAACACGTATTAGGAATGGGGGAGCATATGTGAAAATTGCACACTTCCTAAGGTAGCAGGCATTGCCACTCACTCCATTATCGCATCCTCTTGGTAACTCCCGGGGGAACCTCCCCCAGGCCTTCAGGAAGCCGCCAGTCACTGCCTGTGGGAGCCAAGTGTGTGAGGGTTTGCAACGCCCTCGGGGCGGAAACTGGAATCAGGAAGGAGAAATTAAGACATAGGACGCGTTTATTCATTTAAACACACACCTGAGAACAATTCTGGCTCATCTTTTGCAGCGATTGAAGAGAGAAGAATTTTGTCTTGGGAGTCACTTATTTCAGTCAAATATCGTTGTTTGATGGGGAGGATTTGTCACAGCGAGCCGAACGAATGAGACTCGGGGGGCCGTGTTCGTTCTCCATTTATCCTGGAGGAAGGAAACAATTTTCTAAATGATCTATATATTTTTTGTCTTGAGATTTCACATCGCAAAAATCATAGTTCTCCGGCCCAAAATATTGTTTTATTATTTAGTTGAAATAACTGATGAGAGAGAAAGATGGACTCATCTCATTGGGAGGCTGGGGCCTCGAAGCACAGACGTGGTGCAAATTCTCACTACAGCGGAAGAAAGAAGGTGCAGATTAAAATGTGCCGATGGAGTGTCTGTAAAGAGCCAGCATGTGCTAGCAAAGAATTTGTAGTCACACGAACACCTGATTCCCTTTGCATCTCACTTTGTTTTAATTCTTGCAGACTGTATTTGGAAATGATGGGTACAAATGGGTACAATGTAGTGAATACAAAATGCAAAGTATATTCTTCAAAGAGATAGAGCCAATGAGTGACTCTGCAGGTGCGTGACTCCCGTGTCTGCTGTCCATAGTGCTTCTGACCACAGCGTATCAGCAGTCACCAAAAAAAGAGCTGGGGCCAGGTACAAATTGGAGGTGGTTTTTCATTTTATTTAAATACTTATGCTCAGAAGGATTTTTCAATCTAGAGTTCTGGTCTTCATCAAAGGAGGCCAGCGCGCAGGACGGACATGGAGGGAGGGCGGCATCGGAAGGCAGACCGTTCGTTTGTTCTCGAAGTTTAACACAGCAGCTGTTTGGGCACCCATCAAGAACTGCTGGGCACTGGGGCTGGGATCAGATCTCGGGGCTCAGGTCAGGATTTATAGAACAAGGAAGACAGACACGTGAATCCAGGGGGTCGTCATGGTGAGGTCCTCGAAGAATGAAAGCTGTTTCTCTCTAGTCTCACCAAGACCCCTAGACACGATGTGTGGGTTTTTCCACACCAACAAATTCTCCAGTTCTCAGCAGACACCAGCTTGGTGTCTTAGGATTCAGTTCAGTTCTGGCTCTAACCACCAGAGTCAGCTCAGAACCCACAGGTTAGGGGCTCAGTCCCACAAGACGCCCCCACTTCAGATGGCAGACTCAAGTCCCAGGTTGTCACCTGTGCTTCCAGCTGACCAGCTGCGAGCCAATCCGGGGTTCCCAAGACCCCCTCGTCCGGTTCTGTAATTTGCTAGAACAGCTCACAGAACTCAGGAAGGCACTTTACTTACTATTGCCAATTTATTACAAAGGATATTTTAAAGGATGCAGATGAACAGCCAGATGACGAGGTGCACAGGGGGAGGTTCAGAAGAGTCCAGGTGCTTCTCTCCCCTTGGGGTTTTGGATGTCCCATCCTCCCAGCACATGATACGTTCACCAACCCAGAAACTCTCGGAACACTGTTGTTTAGGGTTTTTATGGAGGTTCCAGTACATAACACGATTGATTAAATCATTGGCCCCTGGGGATTGCCTGCCTCCAGCCTCTCTCCCCTGCCTGGAGCTGGGAGGTGAGGCTCAAAGTTCCAAACCCCTCATCTCCTGATTGGTTCCCCTGGTGACCAGCCCCCATTCTTAGGGGCTTTCCCATAGTCCCTTAATTCACATAAATTCAGGGGTGGTTAAGAAGGGCTTGTTATGAATTCCAAAAGATGCTCTTTTCACCTCTGGAGCTGTTTCTGGACCTGGTGACAAAACCTAAATACAGAAGTTGCTTCTCTCTCTCTCATCCCTTAGGAAATTCCAAGGTTTTGGGAGCTCTGGCCTGGAGCCAGAGACGAAGACCAAAATATGTATTTCTTAGTATACCATAATATCACAAGTCCTCAGAAGAAAGATCCAAATTGGATCTGAGGGTCACGGTGGAGTCCCAGCCCAGGGGACACGTTCACTAAGTTTGATGGATGCACCTCAAATCCCAGCTCGGCTCCCAACTCTGGTTCGACCTTGAGCAGATTCCCCAGCCTCCACCGGCCTGTTTCCTCGTCTTTAAAGTAGGAAGAATAACCCTAGGCACTTGGTGTGGTGGCATTAAGGGGGAGAGCCCGTGTGACGTGTCCGCCCCACGGTGGCCTCCCCGTGTCCTCACGGAGGAGAAGCCCCGAGTCCGCGACCTTCCTCCCTGCCTTTACATGTTCATTTCCGCATCAAAGTGCGATAACCACCCCCAATCACACCAGGAGTAATAACGGTGTGAGAATGCCAGCCGATGTTCCCTCCAAGCATGTGGGCCTGGCCAGGCTTCCGGGCAGGCGTGGCAGCTGGCCCTGGGCCTTGGTCCACCTGGAGACATCCCTGACCAAGGGCAGCTCTCCAGCCTCCTTTTCTGCCCGTGTCACCGTCAAGACCAGAGTCAAATGATGGCGACATGAGAGTATCCAGCCCATAACGGGCTTTATCTCCTGGGACCCCTGTGTCCTGTGGGGAGGGTCCCCCTCCCTTACCTCTCAGGCCAGGGCTGGCAGGGGATACCACAGTGACCACAGCAGTCACAAGGCCTCGTGCTGTCCTCCACATCTTCCCGCTCCCACGTTTCTTCGGCATCACCCAGCCGCTACCCGGCCGCCTGCCTTCCTGGGCAAGAACTGAGATGGGAGGGGGGCTCAGCCCCGTGGGGACGGAGGGACGTGAGATGGATGGGGCTTTGATCTGGAGCAGGGCTGCACCTGGAAGCTCAGGTGCAGAAAGGGGAAGGCCGTGCCTCTCACACCCGGTGGATGTTTGAGATGCAGAACCCCTTGGCCCAGACTTGGGACAGGAGCTGGCTGGAGTCCCCAGTCCATGGCTGCCACCTCCCTTCCCAAGTCTGGGCCCCCCCGGGGCTGGGCTCCTGCTCCCTCCCCGACTCCCCAAGGGACAGAACTTGCTCCTCTCCCACCTTCCCGTCCTGGAGAAGATGCAGAGCTCTTAAGGCCTTAGGGTTTTGTTGTTTTAATTAATAGACATTTTTAGAGCAGTTTTAAGTTTACAGAAAAATTGAACAGACGGTACAGCGAGTTGCCTTATACTCCCTCACAGCCTCCCCTGTCCCCAATCCCCACCGCCCTCAGGCATGTGCACACATGCTCACAGTTTCCTTTAATATTAACTCTGCATTAGTGTAGGGCATTTGTTACAATCGATGAACAGGATTGCAACATTGTTATGCACTGCATGCCCTCCACAGCTCTCATTAGATTCTCTCTCTGTGATATACTAGGCAATGTACAGCCATGGGTTTTGGCAAGTGTTTAATGACATTACAGTTATCAGAACAGCGTCACTGCCCTAAACGTCCGCTGTGCTGCGCTGCCACTCCCGACCCCCAGGGCCTTGGGATCTAATGTCAGGAACAAAGAAAGGAGAGAGGAAAGGTGGAAATAAGAGACAAAGCAGGAATATTGGGAACGGTCTGGGGCTGAAAGTGAGCGTCCGCCGAGCAGGCCCAGGTGCTCGCCAGTGTGGACACCGGCCAACTCCAGGCTTTCTGCGGGTTTCTGTCCTGCTGCGTTTGCCTCTTGAGGTCCTGGCTTTCTTCCCTTCCCTGTAAACCCCAGCACAGCCTTACAAGGCGCCCTGCACTGCAGCCTCCCCTCTGGCCCTCGCCTGTACTTTCTCATCCTTCTGGAAGGCCCCACCTGATGCTAGCATTAGCGAGCATCTGAAGTACAGCCGGGGTGTGAGGGGCCCCCAGCTTCCTCTCCCGGATTCCCAAGCATCCCCACACCTGCAGAAGGAAGCTTCCAGCACCTCCCACCTTAATCCTTCCCCGCTCCGACCCCACCCCTGCCCCAGGCCTCTCCCGTCACAGCCCTGCAGGGCTGAAAGGCGGCCACTCTGGGCTATGAGGCAGGGAGCAGGGGCCACTGGGCAGGACCAGGGGACAGTTAGGGTGCCTTCCCGCAGGAGGAATGCATCAGGACCCATCTAAACGTGCCCTCGCCCCTCCCCACTACATCAGAAACTGTCAGGGGTCGCATCCTGGTGGATGCGCGCTGATGCTTGTCTCTGCTTTGTTGTGACGACAGGTGCTGGCATCGATGGAGTGGAGGAGATCAAGCGCCATCCTTTCTTTGTTACCATAGACTGGAATGTAAGTTGCCCACCCTGGTCCCCGACTGCACAGGAATGCAGGGAGGTGGGGTGGAGGGCACGGCAGCTGCTTGTTACCAACCAGAGGTAAGTGTGGACCTGTCACCTGGAAGACACACTCTCTCAGGAGCCTTCTGAGCCGGCTGGCATTTCACAGCACAGACCAGAGACCACCGCTTCCCTGCAGCTCAAGGCCTGAAATTCCTTCAACTCTTTGCCCTTTAGAGACAGGTTTAGATGGCAAGGTTTAGATGGGTTTAAACAGAGACAGGTTTAGCTGGCCTTTAGCCACTCCCAACCCACTGAGGACAGCGCAGAGATCACCTTCAATGCAGCAAGAGGCTGCAGGAGCCCTTTGGGGTCCCTAGATCAGGCTGCAAATGCCGTTTTAGTACGAGGGCCTCTGGGCACCCTAGATTCTGAATCAGATTCCCAATCTCCTTTTGGGTTCAGCCTCATACACTTAGCACTCTTGTAGAAGTCGATAGAAAAAAAGAACTATCCAGACTGTGAAAGTATTAGTGCCAATTGTTAAAGGTGAAAGGAAGATCTCATTCAAGGGGGCCGTCTCCGTGGTTGCAGGGACCACTGTGGTGGGGTCCTGTAGATGATGAGAGAGGTGGGGCTCAACTCTGAACACAGCAGGGCCAAGTGGGGTGTATAGCCAGGGAGTGGGGTGGGGGTCGGCGGATGGACAGTCACTAAACGGAAGCATCCAGGCGAGGCGGGCTTTGGCGAAACTGACCTGCAGGACTCTTGAAGGCAGGCCAGGTGGCCAGACATCACCTGGGGCGAGGGGGCGGGCATGAGGAACCCATCAGATATCGAAGTCATCAGATAGCAAGGGTGGGGCTTCTGGCTAACCTGACTTAGGATTCTTGCTAAAATTGGACAATGCAGAGATGGACTGAGAAATCCGAAAGTCAGGCCTGGTGGAAAAAGAGCTCAGGGAGCCAAGTAGTTTGGTCAAAGTCACATACAAACACCAGCTCAGGGGCTGACCCTGTGGCTGAATGGTTAAGTTCACGTGCTCCACTTTGGTGGCCTGGGGTTCGCCGGTTTGGATCCTAGGTTCAGACCTACACACGGCTCATCAAGCCGTGCTGAGGCAGCATCCCGCACAGAAGAACTAGACTGACTTGCAACTCGGATATACAGCTATGTACTGGGGCTTTGGAGAGAAAAAAAAAAGAGGAAGATTGGCAACAGATGTTAGCTCAGGGCCAATCTTCCTCACCAAAAAAGCATACAAAAAAACCCCCAGCTTTGCATTGTTAGATGATAAACTGGAGCTCCCCTGAGGGGGTGACGACGATGCCTGTGTCTCCAGTTGTCCGAGCCACCGGACTTGATGCCACCTGGAGCTGGACACCAAGAAGTTCCCAACTCTCACTTCCCACAACCCCTCTGTTCTAGCTCTCTTGGGTAGGATTAATGCGGTCAGCTCTCGATGCATCAGCGACTACAGGGCTGCAGAATGCAGTGTGTCTGGACAGCTGGGGCCGATCTTCAATCTTTGAATCTGAAAGAAGGAAGACCTCCTTTGATCTCAGTTCTTTTAGTCCTTTCCTTGCAGTTAACACAACAACAATTACATTAGGGGTTTTCTTTCCCTGAGCCAAAAATTAACCTCGGGGGATTTTAACGGAAAGTAAAAAAAAAAAAGAAAAACTTAAATATTCTTGATAGTACAAAGGATATTATCTATATTTGGCTTCCCCTCCGTCGTCTTCATGTCCCGGTGGAGTCTGGTACCTCCCGTGAATTTCAGGCAGGTGTGGCTGAGACAGGTGGGCGGCCCCACTCCGGCCCCCGTGGCAGCTGTGTGCAGCCAGCTGTTGACATAGCTTCCCAACCTCACTCCCTCGCTGCTCCCGGACTCCCCTCCTCTCTCATCCTGCGCCCCAGGAAAGCGTTCAAGCTGCGAGAATATGGGGATTTTTTAAAACTTAGTCTTATAGTTCTGATTCTAGAACTTCTGTGAGATTAGACTTCTTTTTGAAGGTAAGATTAGAGAGAAGCAAGTGGAGGTTCAGCGTATCCATGACCTCCCAGCCAGCTACAAAAAGCCTTGTTCAGAGATCAAATAGACGTCAGATTGCATCCAAAAAAGATGGAGAAGAGAGGATCTCAAGGAAGTGAAGCCACTGCCTCCCTTTGAAATCTCTTTTCACTTAGCTTTCCTGAAAATCTAGGCTCCCAAGGAGCTGTGGGCATCCTCAACTCACAGATGGGCACCTAAAGATCAAGTTTGGTCGATTGTGTATGAGTTGGAATCATTTTCTAGGGAAACGAGGCTGCGTGTGGTAATTAGGTCTCAGCCAAGCCTGTTTGGTTGACGGGCGGCCTGTGTGTTACCCCACAGGATGCTAGTGCAGGGTAGAGAGCCCCAGAAGCTGACCCCTAAGGGGACAGCACCTCCTGTGAGTACGTGCACTGGTGACTTTGGTGACGGGATGGGGGCCCCGCCATGTTGCGTCCCCTCCTCCTACCACAGGCAATCAGAGTAGAACCATGCAGCCATCCAGTTATTCCTCATTGATCCATTGATCCAGCCCTGCTCGTTGACCATGTATCAGGCATGGGGACAGAGCAGAGGACGAGGCCAGTGACGTCCTACACCCGGGGGCTTATGATCTGGTTGGCAGAGAGGCAATAGACTAAGGGGTATGCACTTTGTTACAAAGAGAAGGCCACACCAGGAGGAGCTGTGAGCCAGGAGGACGCAGAAGCGAAGAGCTGGGGAGAGCCGAGGCCCCCCCCCCACCGCCCCCCCCACCCCCCCCACCATGCTCCAGGCCTTGCAGCTGCTCTGTCCTCCTGGAACCGGAGTCCCCAGGACCCTAATAGCTCACTTTCCCTCCTTCAGGTCTCCTCTTAACTGCCCTCTTCCCCCTGAGACCTGTCCTGCCGGCCCCTCCAACACTGCCACGCCTCGCCCTGTGCCCCTGACTCTGCTGGCCTTGCTCTGTCTGTTTCCCACGTCCTTTGTCCCCTTCCAGCACGCTACCGAATGTCGTTTATGATGGTGATTATTATTTCCCATCTCCTGCCTCTGGGATGTGAGCTCCAGGAATCTCTGTCAGTTTGACTCAGGGATGTGTCCCACGCCTCTGAAACAGGGCCCAGCTCAGAGGGGGCCCCTGGTAAATATCGAGTGAGTGAATGAGTGAATGAATGAGGGAGTGAGTGACGGAGTGAGTGAGTGACTAAGTGAATGAATGAATGACTGAGCGAGTGAGCAAATGTAAGGGCCAGGGCTCTCAGGGTGTGAGTGTCAGGTGTGGCGGCATTCTGACTCCCTTCCCTCTCTCCGTGGCCCCACCAGCCCTTCCAGCAAAGCCCATGCCTGGGGAAAAGAGAACGGGGTTGCTGGGGTGGGGTCAGACGGCTGCAGCTGGGAGGAAGGGAAGTCCCTTCCACGCTGCTTCAGGGGACCCTCAACACCAGGACTCAGCTCTGGCTGTTGGCAGGTGCTGCCGACGGACACTTATCTCAGCCGAGAAGGGGCGCCCCTGAAGAAGTGGGCGTGTTGCAGGGGGAACTAAGACAACTTTGTGAAATGCATGGAATTTTAACAGCACAGTGGCCTTAACACTCTCCAAGCTTGGGTTGACATGCATTCCAGAAAGCCCAGGTGTATGTGAGCTCTGCGCAGAAGCCTGTTTTCTTTCTCCAGCCATGAGAGCAGGGCAGTGAGGGCCAGCAACCAGCCCAGCTCCTTCAGGGGTGCATGGCTTGTCCTGGTTCTCTGTAGCTGGGACAGAGTCTCTGTACAGGCAGACGTGGTCATTGGGTTTCTGCACCAAGAAGGTGGCATTTCTGCATTACTTCAAAGCAATCAGACTGAAATTAAGGTTGGGAAGTTTCTTGTGTCGCTTTTAGCATTTAATTTCATTTAATCTTGTTTTGCTTGGTTTTTGAGAGAGGCCTTTCAGATTCCTTAGGACCAAGCATCTTTACTGTCATTTCTGTATTTGCCAGAGGATGACAGGGAGGGGCTGGGGAAATGGCAGAATCATGTTCTATCCCGCGTTCTGAATGAAAGCAGCCAGTGGCTGGTAAAGGAGCGCCACGTGCCACGTTTGTGCAAATTCACTTATTTAATAAATAATACTCAGCGCTTGCCCGTGTCAAGATGAGCAAGGTGTTCCTGCTTTAATGATCGAAAGAAACAGCTGTCCTCAAGCTGCTGGCCGTCTGAACACTGCACAATCATGTCACCATCCGGCCACAGAGGAGGGGTGCAGTGTGGGTGTCCGGTCAGAGAGAGAGGAGATGCTGCAAAGAATGGAATTGGCAAGGAGACGGACCCGGAGGAGAGGAGAGAGATTCCCAGCGAGGATGTACTGGGGACCACAATCTTATTTAGCCACTGTGGTCTTTCCTGGGGACTAGATGAGTCCCCCGTCTCAGCCAGTCCTCTCCCTGCATCAGCCGTTGAGCCCATTCACGCTCCTCAAGTCTGTCAGCCACATAGGAGCTGCTGTGTTATCGTGGCCAAGCTGGGCCCCCAGTCACACATGCAGGCAAGCGACCGACCATTGCTTTAGAAAGCAGACACGACAATGGGAGACGTTTAAAGGTGTCTAATAGGTATTGATACTCAGTGGTGTATTTGTCCAGATGTGCCCATTCTGTTTTCAGCAGCTCAGATAACTGAAAATCACAGTAGAGTGGCATTTGCAAAAACTGTTAACCAGGAGGCAGCCCCTCTGCCTCGAAGATGCTCAGAATGACGATGAGAAGGCGTTTCTCCAACCACTCTGTCTCTGCTGTGTGCTCTCCCCCAGTGCCTGCCTCAGGATCCAATCTGGAAAGTAGAAGGATGTTTATTTCACTTTATGCTTCCTTCTACAACCAAAACTGCCAGCAGAAGTTTTTTGTGTTTTTTTTAAGTAAACACCTATCATGCAATATTTCTCTCTGGGGCCTTTGGGTGACCTCCAGGAACAGAAGCCCGCTGACAACAGGAGTGAGGGGTGCTGCCCCAGTCTGTCC